ATCTGTTGACATATATTTTAAATGTAATTAAACATAGGCTGTGAATTAATCAAAATTGATCACTATTTCCAAAAAATGACTGAAAAAATACCAAATAAAACAAAAGTAAATGAATGCCATCCTCCTTGCGATGATGCCCTGGGCAACTGCCATAAAGTCACATCAAGAAATGCTGCTGATCATTCCAATGATCCCAAATAGACTCACATTAGGCCACATGAAAGCAACTGAACCCAAAAATATATTAACCAGTATATAACTGCACTCTCACACAACACGCCTGCAGCAACAGTTAGAACTCCTCCATCCCTTTTAAAAGCGTTTTTGCTTCTGAGGACATTGTGGTTGTAAAACCACATGCTAGTAGTCTGGCCCCGGTGTGATCAACCAGTTTCTGCGGGAATGTGACGGCGGAACCAGGGCCAGATTAACACTTTGTTGTACCCTGGGCAACAATATTCAAGGGCTCCATCATCACGACCCAAGGATCACCATAATGTGGTCACATACAGAATATTTTACTGTAATATGCAGTAAATATACTCAATACTTGAATGCCTGACAACACGTAACCCGCCCAGAGTAACCTTTGACCCACCTCGTGTGGACTGACCAATGAGGAGAGGGTCTTAACTTGAGGCCCTCTCTTCATTGGTCATTCTGCATGAGACTGACTCTCAACTGACGTTCAGTCGTAGGCAGCGAAGCTTCTCTGTGCAGTGCAAAAGCCCGGGTGGACAGTTTGTTTAATGTAGGGTGACCATATTTCCATTTCCAAACAAGAGGACAGGGGATCTGTGCCTATGACGTCACACTATGGCAACGCCACACAAACCATGTTGGGACCCATTTTTTGTAAGAACTAAATTAATATCAGATTCTGCCAATTAAAGGGCTCTAAAACAATTCATATATAAATATTTAGCATATTTAATGCAAAATCAAATTTTTCTGCTTTAGTTTTGCAACAAGGTTTTATTAATAATAAATTATTATACCTTTTGTTTTACTACAGCATCGGTACGCTTCCTGTGCACGGATTATTAAGGATGCTTGTTTCAGCTGTGAGATTAGATGATAGGATCAATGAAAAAATAAGTTGTCACACACTCCATGGAAACTTTCAAAGAATCCACAAATAGTGGCTTTCAAATGGTTTTGTTACTTTTTGCAAGTTTATAAAAGAAGCAGATGAGACAGCATGTCTGATAATTTAGTTTTTCATCTGATAATATTAGAACATGTCAGTAATGTCTGAGGGGCTTTTATAAACACCATATAACTAACACTACTGGAGAGGGCATGAATTACACAGAGGCTTCTGGGGAGCCCAGTTATTGGGGGGGGGGGGGGGGGGGCATTTTGCCTTGGCCCCCAAAATGTCTTGAAACGGCCCTGGGTGTGTGACTGAGTTTTGAAGGTGATCTGAATTGTATCAGATGTATAAATATGACATGTGTATAACTTATTGTTTTTTATAGGTAAAAACGTGTAGTGGTGATAAATCTACCTACATTTTACTTTTCAACACTTTGTTTTCAGCGCTTTGGGCTTCCTGACAGGGTTGCGGAAGGCGCTTTATAAATAAAGCTTTGATTGATTGATTGATTGATTCTTTTTTGTTTTTATTGAACTATTTTCCTGTCCTGTCTGTCTCTCATCTTCCTGCATCTCCTCTTAATTCTCCAGAAAATCTGTTGCCTGGATTCTTACCTTTTCACCTCATCAGTTACTTTTGAGCAGATCAAAGGGATCTCCTGACCGAAAAGCGCAGAGCGCGTTTTCGATGCTGCGTGAGGTGACATCACCACAGCACAGGTGATGAGCTCCGCAGTAGCGAGCTTCACAGGCACAAATAAGACAGAAAATAGAGAAGATGTGCAGACAAGAACGATCGTGTGCTAATTATAGTTTTTTGGTTGCGCCACTTTGAGAATGGACCGTGCGCTGGAAGCAGCTGCCTGGATCGCTGTGCAACAATGCGGAACCGGTTCGCAGCAGCGCAAGTCTGCCGGGCCGGCTCTCCCTCGCGCTGATCTGCCGCTACCGGCTCTCCCTCGCGCTGATCTGCCGCTACCGGCTCTCCCTCGCGCTGATCTGCCGCTACCGGCTCTCCCTCACGCTGATCTGCGGCTCTCCCTTGCGCTGATCTGCGGCTCTCCCTCGCGCTGATCTGCCGGCTCTCCCTCGCGCTGATCTGCGGCTCTCCCTCGCGCTGATCTGCGGCTCTCCCTCGCGCTGATCTGCGGCTCTCCCTCGTGCTGATCTGACTTGCTCTGGTCTGCGCGCAACGGCGGGCGGGATTCGGGAGGGGGGGGGGGCGCTTTTGGAAGAGTTGTGCGACACAACGAATCATGACGCAATTCGTTGCCAACGCTTTTAGTAATCGATTTTCATCGAATTTATCGATTCGTTGTTGCAGCCCTAAACTTAACCATCCATTTTCTCTGCTAATTCAAGAGTTAATTTTAGCTCTAATGATATTTCTGCTCTGCTTTTGCATTGTGATAAAAAGCCAAAACAATAGTTTTCTTTACAGTTGTGTGCTTTCCACCTCTCTTCTCAAACTTCAACACACACAATCTTTGAAGACGGATGACTGACGTGGATGAAAGCTGTTGATTATCACACAGACTGATTTTGTTTGCAGATTACTTACAAGGGATTATATTATAATCATTTACTGTTTTCTTCAATTCAAGAAAACAATGGAGCAGATTTTCATTAGAACTTTTTAGGGATGTGCATAGTTAACCAGTTAATTGCTGTTAATGTTGTAACCCCCCTGTGCCATGACTGGCACAGAAGTCCAATAACAAAACACCACTCGAATTTAGATCAGGGGGCCGTTCCTCCCAACCACACCTCTCCAGGTCTCACTGTTGTTGCCCACGTGAGTGTTAAAGTCCCCCAGCACAACGAGGGAGTCACCAGAAGGAGCGCTTTCCAGCACCCCCTCCAAGGTCTCCGAAAAAGGGTGGGTAGTCTGAACTGTAGTTTGGTGCATAAGCACAGACAAGTCAGAACCCGTCCCCCCACACGTAGGCTGAAGGAGGCTACCCTCACATTCACTGGGGTAAACCCCAACGTACAGGCGCCAAGATGGGGGGCAACTAGTGTGCCCACCCCTGCTCGGCGCCTCTCAGTGGGAGCAACTCCAGAGTGGTAGAAAGTCCAACCCCTCCCAAGTAAACTGGTTTCAGAACCAGAGCCATGTGTTGAGGTGAGTCCGACTATATCTAGTTGGAACCTCTCAACCTCACACACCAACTCAGGCTCCTTCCCCACCAGAGAGGTGACATTCCATGTGCCAAGAGCCAGCTTCTGTAGCCGAGGATCAGACAGCCAAGGTCCTCGCCCTCGACTACCACCCGTCACACACTGCACCCGACCACGAGTATATATATATACTGTATGAGTGTAAATAATTATTACATATAAATTAGAGATGAACTTATGGGTTTTACTAATGCTGATGGAGGTCATATGCCGCTGATTTCCATGGCTGATATCATGACATATTCCTGCTTATTTGCCTTCTAAAATGTCACAAATAACATTTCTGAAACTAATCGGTTTTTGAACACTGAATGTAACCAACTCCAAAATCTTCATTTTGCTCAAACATTTAAACAAAGATAATCAAACTAAATCAATAAACAGCAAGTGTTAAATAAATAAATCTGATAAAAGACAACTCAGTTTCAGATTATTTATTAAGCACAGGTTTTTCAGGAATGTAAATAGTAAATGTTTAATTCAAATTCATCAGCAGCACTAGGCTGCCCACAGATGTGCCTGGCTTTAAATCAGTTCTAATAAAGAGATATATCAGCTGATGATGAAATATACAAATGGTAAATAGTGGTCTGATGTATCCATCTAACCCAGATATGAATGTGTTTTAGGATTTATCAGAGTAAAACCTAAGAAATACGATTAGAAGATCTTAGAAAGTAATAAAGGAAAATAAAACACCGGTCAAACACTCAGACATGAGTCATTATAATAATGTTACAGATACCATGTAGCTAATGGCTGGTAAACCTCAAGGCTGCACGTTTTAATTGTTAAGTATTAAAGTAAAGTAGACTGAGAGTAATACTTTAGTCTTATTTCACACTGATTAAACAGTCCAGGCAAATATTACAGCGTAAACCATTAAACGGAGGCAACAATCTTATTAAAACCCAGTTTTAGGGGTTTTATTCAGCTAAGATCCAGATCAGACCTGATTAAGGATCACTTCTGTTTCACACCGGTGTTACGTCGATATGTGTTCACAAAAAATAACCCTTACCCTAACCATAACCACCCTGCCACCAACAGTTTATGTTTTGCATAAATATAATTTTAGAAAAAAATAAGTGTATCACGAATTTTATGTTTGTTTCAGGGTTATGGTTAGGACACACGTTTTTTGCGAGTGGATGCCTCAAACTCGCAGCTGGGTGCAAAAGAAACAGATCTCGAGGGGGGAGCACATATCGACGTAACACCGGCACAAAGAAACATGCAAAAGTTGTAAAGTTTCATTTCCCCTTCCAGCCGCTGAGAAACATAAGTTCCTGAAACCAAGCAGGACGCCTCTCTTGTTTATTATAAGTTGTGTGTGAATAATTAGACGTGCTGGGTTTGTTTTTCTGAGAGGATGAAGTTGACTTTACAGCTGTCTGAACATTAACGTCTGATACGGACACCGGGGAGGGACATCAGGAAAAACAGGAAACCGTCCTGTGTGTGTGGTTAATAAAAACACCTGCGACACACAAACCGGGTTTATTTTAAGCTTCATCTGGTTAAATCTCAGCACCAAGTTCAGTCAAGGGCTGTCAACTTCCCTCCCGCAGCTACCGCACACACACGCACAGGCTAGGAGCCGAGCTGGAGAGGCGTCCTTGCCGCTTCCCGACAACTACACCCGACACCCGCACGCGCTGGGGGCTCACGCGGAACCATCGCGGCTTGCTCCAAACCAAAACAGCTTTTATTCGACTCACCAGCAGCAGAAGCAGCGTGAACATTTTCTCCTCTCTCATCCTTCTCCTGTAGCGGGTCCAGGAAGCCATGATGCCGTTGCCACGTCTGGATACGCACGCGCACTCGGATTTCTACGGATTATTGGACAAAGTGCAAAGCACCATGGGAAATGGAGTTGCAATGAAAACCATGGCGGTGCGGCGCACCTGCTGATGAGCCAATCAAAGTTATTGTTTTGTGAGGACATGTTAAAAGGGTCTTGATTAGTTCTTCATCAATTAGATTGGTTCATCTATCTATCTATCTATCTATCTATCTATCTATCTATCTATCTATCTATCTATCTATCTATCTATCTATCTATCTATCTGTCTATCTATCATCTATCTATCATCTATCTATCTATCTATCTATCTATCTATCTATCTATCTATCTATCTATCTATATATCTATCTATCTATCTATCTATCTATCTATCTATCTATCTATCTATCTATCTATCTATCATCTATCTATCTATCTATCTTGTTTGCTTGTAGCATAACAGCAACTCAATGTTCAGACAGCTGAAGTGAAAACGACTTGCAAAAGTTCAGACTGAGCATCCAGAAGCGAAGAGGACATAAGCGTCGGGCTTGTCTGACTAATCCAGAAAATGCTGATGTATGAGGATTTTCAAGTTTGCAGAGAATGACTCAAAAAAAATAGTGAGCAGCAGATGTGTGGATGAAAGTGTCTTGCTGAGGTCAGATGAGACTGGTTCTTGAGAACAGAAAGATCGGCTCAAAATTCCTAAGTAGATCTGAATAACATCTCTGGACAACATCTCATTCCAGATGGACTGCAGCAGAAGGCCACAACAGGTTCTCTCCTCAGCTAAGAGCAGGAAACTGAGGCTACAGTGCAACATTCAGATGGCCAGGTCACAATTTGGTGTCACCAACATGAAAGCTAATAGACCAACCAACATGGATCCATCCTGCTGGTGGTGGGGGAGTGTGTTCTTGTCCCACTTTGGATCCCTTAGGACCACCTGCGCCTGGTTAACCACCACAGCCTACCTGAGTATTGTTGCTGACCTTCTGATGGCTACTTTCAGCAGGATCATGTCAAACATGTCACAGAGCTCAAATCATAACTGGTTTCCAGAAAATGGCCATAAGTCCACTGGACTCCCAACGACCTCCACAGCCACTAGACCTCAGTGCACCCCAGAACCAGAGGAGAATCCTGCTGGTACCAGCTCAGTGGCCTAGTGGTGGGGTTCAAAGTTCATTCGGGTCACACCAAAGACAATGGAACCCAATGCCTCCCTGCTTGGATTGGGGTTAAACCACTAAATAGTCCCCGAGCACAGCCACTACTGCAGCTCACAGCTCCCTAGGAATGGATCGAATGCGGAGGACAATTTGCACCACACACCTGTGTGTGTGTGTGTGTGTGTGTGTGTGTGTGTGTGTGTGTGTGTGTGTGTGTGTGTGTGTGTGTGTGTGTGTGTGGGACTTGACTTTAACTTTTACCAGTTAGGTGTCCCTAATGAAGGACCAGTGAGTGTACAATATAGAATCATCTTCATCTGGTGTCTCTCAAAAATACAATTGACGTAAAACATGTGTGAGATCATTTCCATCTTCAATAAATCACGAATAGAAGCAGCTTTACGTGTTTATGTCACATGACCTGTTTTCACCGGTCATAGTTTTGTATATCTGCTCTGAACAAACCTGAAAAACTAAATCACTCCTGCTGCCCAGTGGAGTTCTATTGCCAGGTTACCACACACACACACACACACACACACACACACACACACACACACACACACACACACACACACCAGGTATCCATCAGTGGCGTTCCAGGGTAACATATGCAGGGCAAACCTTTCCCAGAAGCCCTTCTCTCTCTCTCTCTCTCTCTCTCTCTCTCTCTCTCTCTCTCTCTCTCTCTCTCTCTCTCTCTCTCTCTCTCTCTCTCTCTCTCTCTCTCTCTCTCTCTCTCTCTCTCTCTCTCTCTCTCTCTCTCTCTCTCTCTCCCTCCCTCCCTCCCTCCCTCCCTGATTGAGGTCTGAACGGACTCGCCGGGCGCACTTCCTCCCCGTCGCGAGTCGGCCCCATCTTTAACTCCACTCCGTCCCTTCCCTCTGCCTCCCCTCGGCCCGGTGGTATCGCCCGACGGAGACGGAGACAGCGTAGTGGTCTGCTGCAGGTCGCTCAGAGAGGAACGCGCAGCGGCTGGAGGAAACGGCACTAAACCCGCTTCTGTTCCGCCTCCTCTGATTCTCTCCTTCAGTCCAACTGGCGTTTTCAGCAACTTGAGGAATAAAAACACATTTAAAGGTAAAGAAAAGACACTTTTCTCTTGTGTGCATTTGTAAAACACTCGTAAAGAAAAATAAGCGCACTTTTGGGTGTTGGTTCGCTAGTTTTAAGCTGGTTTTGTCTTTTGAAGCGGAATCAATGCTTAAAATATATAATAATATTAATTAATGTGATTAATATTGCTAGATGCTCTCTTTGTAAATGAGAGGACAGCCCTCCAGCTAAGGAACTGGCTCCTCCGGAGCTTTTCAGCAGGTCTTCGTTTCTCCCGGGACCTTTCTTTTTCTCCATCCATCACAACAAAATTAAAACTGTGACGTTTTCTAATTAAATGTGTGTCAGACACGTTTGGGTCTGTTGGCTCCTTTTCTCTCTGGGGTGAAATCAGGTGTTGTTTGGAGCAGCTCCTTTTATGTGTCGCCAGTTTTACTTTCCACTCACGTTTCATCCCAGGATCAGAGGCGCATTTGTGGGCTGCAGGAGCAGCCACCACATCTCAAACTTACTCTGTGCAGCACGCTGGTCTCAAGTTCGGGGAGATGTCAAGTTTTCGAAAAGGGAAAGTTTACAGGCAGGTTTTTTTTAGGGTGAAATGACATTCATAAGACAGTTTTCTATCGATTGATTTCTTTTCTCTCAAGTTTGGAGCGATTTTACGCATAAATCTGATTTGTGGCACAAAATAAGTTGTTTTGCTTCAACATCTGCAGGATTTCTTTCTTCTTGCGTTCATATTTCCCCTCCATTTAAAGTGTCCAACATTGATTGGCCTTATTGCTCATCACACGAAATGCTTTTTACGCGCAGGGATTTTGCGCACATTTCTCTTTATTTTAAGCGTTTCTGTAAATCGTCCGTGACGCTTATTGACCGAGGTAATACTCAGCAAGTCGTTATTCATGAGCTTTGTCAGGTGGATTAATTGCTCCTCCATTTTCCTTGATGCACTGATTTGCTTTAAATCAACTTTATATCTTTTATAGAAACAAAGAATAAACTATGGCAGCACTGAGCTCATAAAACTGCAAACGACGAACAAAGAGAGGCAGAATGGTAATAAGTAATGAAACAGGGAGCTTCCTTAGTGTTTCCAAGCTGATTGTTTGGGGTTTGAAGGGTGTTGTTCAGCGTTGGACCAAAAGAGGGCAGTGTTGAGCAGCTGTGTTGAACACCTTGCCAGGTGAGCGCTGGCCTGGCGCGTCTCCGTTCAACACACGGACACAAATGTAAGATTTGATATTTGATTGCCTGTGAGACGTTTTCCGTCTTTGTTTAGTCAAAAGTGATTAGATTTCAAGCACACGTGATGTGAACAGGCTTTTTATCGGCAGGCGGCTCACTCAGAACAGCTCTCAGACAAATTTGGCCCACTTTCTGGCTGAAAATATCACATTCACTCCACCAAACGAATCAAACAACTTACCGACTTAAACAGCTCCCCCACGTTCCCACCACCAGGCTTGTGGGAAGCACGCTCCCTTCAGTTCATTGATCCGCATTTGTTCATTTCTAACAACATCATAATGAATGTTTCATTCATCCTGGCTGAAAAGGCTGCGTGTTGCAGCGGAGAGGCTTCTACTTCTGCTGTGTGTTTAGGCTGAAAGTGAAGCTTTTACACTACTCTGCTCCAGCTTCACCAACATGTATGGTGCGAGGAAACCCAAATAGAGCCTTTGTGATGAATCAGACTATTATTAGCCCCTTGTTTCCCTCACCATAAATATTCTGTCTTTCATATTTAACCACCCCATCCATTCCCGTGGAGTCCAACCCAGCAGTTGGCTTGACTTCTGTTATATTTCACTTTGTTCATTCATCAACACGTGTGAAAACGCCAACCCCCCCACCCCAGCTTTTGATTGATATTCATTTATTCTTACAAGTTTCGTCAAGCCCACATGCTTGTCTTATGGATGATTAATGCTTTTGTGGCTGGAGGAGCTGTTTTGGTGTCCCGGTTAGGTCCTTTCAAATGGAAAATGGGTTTGATGAACTTATGAGAGCTCTTGACAGGTCCACTTTGTGAGAGGGAGTAGACCAAACTCAAACCGGTCCCCCTTCCCAGACTCATGCCACCTCTTTGTTCACGCTCACCTTCTCCATTTATCTCCCCCCTGTTGTGCTGAAAGTCCAGCGTGTGAGTGCATCGCTGCTATCTTCGTGTCATCTCATGTCCACATGAATTATTCATTGATATTAACAAATATCATAAGTGTTGAGCAGGCGAGCCAGCGGGCTCTCTGTCACAAATGTAATGAGGCATTTTTTATTGGAATTGTTTTGTTGTCGGGCTTCATTTGAGATGGACAAATGGGTATGAAAGTTTAATGACTCAAGAACCTGATCTGTCAACTCGTCCATCTGATGTTACCGCTCAAAACAAACGGAGGACGGTGCTCTCAGTGTGTGTGTGTGTGTGTGTGTGTGTGTGTGTGTGTGTGTGTGTGTGTGTGTGTGTGTGTGTGTGTGTGTGAATCCACCTAAAGAGATAACGGGAGAAACAGATAAGGAGTGTTATTAATGCTGGCCCGATGCCACACACTTTGTGTAATTTCCTCTCACAAAACTTTGTTCTATAAAACCTGGAGATAGAAACGTCTTGTCTGCCTGAGTTGACAGGCTTGTTTTATCATTTTAAAGTTCTCATCAGCCAGAAGCCGTGCAGCATGTGGGAACTGGCAGCTTTTTAGTGTGTTATTGAGTAAAGAGCATTGAAGCAACAGGTTTGTGATGCTGTCACAGCTTTCATCTCTTGTCATGCCCTGCAGCTTTCAAAGCAGCACATTTGGTTCAGTCAGGAAAACAGTGGCACGACTTT